TAAAGATATTGAAGAGGACAGGCCCAGCACCGAGCCCTGGGGAGGGTCTTCTACACCTGAAGCATTGGAGGAGTGGAGGAGAAACAAATGCTTGTCGAGAAGAGGGTAGGCTTAAAGCAACACAAAGTTGCAGTGATGTTGAGTGCAAGGTCCTGCCCAGAGTCTGCATCCCTGTGGGATTTAGTGGAGTTCAATGTGGTGTAAGACGAGTCCGTCTTGTTTTGGCAGCTCGAAAACTGCAGCAGAAACGTAGCCTTCTGTTGGAGGAAGAAGTGGAAGAGGACGAGATGATAAAACAAGTGCCTGAGATGAGCATGCAGTCCACTGTCATCATTGAAGGAGTTGAGTACAAGATTGAGAGGCTGAATGGAAGGAGCAGCCAGGCTCCAGCAACTCGGTAAGACTATGGAGCAGCATCTCAGTGCCACCCCTGTGTGTCACAGTGTCTCAGCATCAGTGATTGTCGGGGAAGAAAGCTGAACATTACTTTCTCTTGGATGTAAAAGCGTGCCATGTGCAGTCCTGTTTCCAAGTGTTCTTTTCAGAAGAACACCTCCTTCAGCTCCGTGCTCGGGTGCATAAAGCCATTGAGTTTTGGAGATAGCCAGCTCAGGAGCAGCCTAGCTTTGCTCTTGTAGTATTTTTTTCCTGAATTTGTTCACCAGAATGCTCTGGTGTTGTTCTCATTCTTGAGCACAGAGCTGGGGAATGAGAAAACATTTCTCATAAAACTTCAAATAAAAGTAAGGCTGCACTAGAATAAAACTGCAGCATCCACCTTTGGACTTACCTGATTCTGCTCAGCCTTTGGTACTTCTTTTGTCAGGCTGAGACACTGAAAACATTCATGCTGTTGTTTTCAGTCTCGTTTCTCTCAATGATTTCTGGCCAGTTTCTATGGATGATGTGCTTACACAATGAATGCACAGAGACCTCCCACCTTCTGTGCTGACCTTGGCCCGTCAGTGGGCAGCTCTGAGGAAGGGCAGCAAATGAGTGCAGACCAACTGTTAGGCTCGATGGGAAGCCCTGCTTATCCCTTCTTCTTTTCATACTGAAATGTGGGAATTTATGGAACAGCAAGGCTGATTCCATCAGGTTACTTTGCTCAGCCTACGGCGAATGTAGCAATGGAAAGCTCTGAGGATGAGTCCAGCTTTCAGCTCCCAGTTCTTATCTGTGCAGGGACAGCTGCAGATAGAAGACTTCCAGTTACTTATTATTTCTGCTTGGACAAAGGAGATGCAGTAGAATAGGCTGAATTTGTGCATTTTGGAATATTTTTTCATGCTGAGACTGGAATTTAAGCAAAGTAAACCTGAGTAGTAAAAAGGAAAGCTCAAATTCATGAGCTTTCTGACTGCCAGCTAAGGCACAGTGGCTGGGGACACCTTCATCTGTGGAAAGCAGGGTTGTTTGGCTTGCTGTCAGCTGATGCGATGTGCAGTGGTTTGGTCATTGAGCACACGACTTCAGTTTGTCAAGCAGTTGCATGTAGAATGTCTGTGTAGAGAATCACTACTCTGAGGTGAGTCAGGATTTGGCCCTACCCCAAACATGCATTCATTTACAGCTCAGGAGGATCAGCCTTTGTTAACGTTCATGCATATCCAGCATCAGCAAAGCAAAAGGCTGGGAGCAGCCAGGCTGTAAAGCATGTAAAGGGAGCTGGAGAGCATAAAGTATTATGAAATCAACAAGGAAATGCTTGCAGTAATGGAGAAAAAAAGATGTTGAGCAAAAACATTCTAGGTTGTGTCTTCGAACTGGTCTGTGTTGTGTTCTGGGGTGTGCATCTATTCTGAACCAGCCTGTGGCACTGCTGGCTGATGTGCTCGTCTGGTTTAGGACCTCAGAGGTGAATGAGAACAACAGCTCACAGAGGAATTCACTGGAAGAAGGAATGAAGCCTGAACAGAGAACGAACTCCATGTCTGGGTAAGGGGATGAGCAATGTGCTTTGCCTTGAAACTGCCAGCTGATGGAACAAGGGACTCCTACTTTTTTAGCAAATACGGAGTGTGGAGAAGATGAAACTGTAATTGGGAAAAAAAAAAAAACAAACCTTAGCAGAAACTTACCTCTGTGTTTGTGTTATTCTTCTGTCCTTCAAAATGGTGTCCTTGGATTTGGGGGTGGTGCAGAACAGCGTCTGAGGGTGTTGGTCATCACCTTACCATCACCTTGAGAAGAGCAGGCAGTATTGAAGCGGATGAGGGCTGCCTGTTTCTCACTGCTTCTCTCTCTGCCCAGGTTGAGTCCATTCAGTCTTGCAGCAGGGGATGCGTTGGCCCCCGTGCGCACAGCCAAAGCAGAGCGGCGGCACCAGGAGAGGTTGCGAATGCAGAGTCCTGAGCTCCTGAGCAGCCAAGAGAAGGAACTTTCTCCAGCAGAACGTCGTGCTCTGGAGGCAGAGAAGCGAGCGATGTGGAGGGCAGCACGGTGAGACAGAAGGAGCTTCATCGTTTTCTTTTCTAGGCCAGTTCAGGGAAGAATCCGGGGTGTTCAGATGGGGAACAGAAAAACTTCCCTTATGCCATATGTTTGCAGAGGTTGTAGTTGCACATTTCTTCCGTTCAGACAGTGCAGAGCATCCGCTGCTTGGCTCAACTCATCTGCTTCTGACCAGCTATGTGAGTGAGAAGTCCCGTATTCCAACTGTGTCTGCACAGACCTGAAGATAGGGGAGTTTTACTTAAAAAACCCAACAATTCTTATGTCTGTGTGTGACAGCGAATGCATCTCTTGCCTTGCAGCACACCATTCCCCATCTCTTTTGTAACACGAGAAAGATCACATCTCTCCAAGCTGCAGGCTGACGTATCCAAAACGAAAAACAGCAAGAACGTTTCATAGAGTCAGTGTTGCTAGGCTGCTAGGTTTGCTGAAGTTAAAAAATGAGCAAGATGAGGGAATTTTTATCCATACAGGTTGTATTGTGAGCTACGACAGAGTGAGTCAGCATCTGTCTTGAAAGAAAGAGAGCTTTCAATCTGAAATGCTCTTTCTGGGGAGGTTGAATGGGAGGCTTTAGAAGAACAGCAAAGCTAATGACTCGCCTTTGCCAGACTGCTCAGTTGGATGCTGGAGGGATTGGTGTGAGGTGATACAACCTAAAACCTTCATGTTTGAGGTGAGGTGTGGATCCTAATGGTGCCACGTCCCTCTGGAGAGGCTCTGGGGATGAAGAAGTCTTTGGGTGGAGTTCACAGTGATGACGGCTCACCTGGAGCTTTGCAGAGGGCTCAGCTTTCCATTCTCACTTCATCATAGGACAGATCTGCTTGTGGCTTTGATTATGCTTATTTAGAGCTGTGCTGAGCTAACGTCTGCAGTTACTGAGGCTCTTCCCCTTTAGAAGAACACTTCCTTGGCATGCTCCAGCTCCATTGCTGTGGATGATCCCTTTACCTGGTCTTTCTCAGCTGTTGTTTTTTTCTATGAAGCACTACCTTAATTCCAGTGCAGTGCTCTGCAGTGTCAGAAGGCTGATCAGCTCACTGAAAAGCTTGCCAGTTAGAGTAAACCTTCATTTGGAAGAGTGATTTCTGTTATCTCGTAGCATCCTTGCTGCACCTTTGAAGCTGGCGCTGCTTGGAGTGGTTTTAGGTGACCTCCAGAGGTCCCTTCCAACCTGGGGGAATTTGCACTCAGCAATCTCTCCTTTGCCTGCACCCCAGAAATGGGGTTGCCTACATACAGTGACCACAGTGTGCTGTGACAGAATTGTTTCCTCTATGGGCTGTTGGCTCAGACACGGTGAGATTCTGTCTGCTTCTCTGACTTGCTGAATGTTCTGCAGTCTATGGCATCACACTCCTGCTCCAGTTGATGTTATTCCTGTGGTTTCTGTGTCACAGCTTTTCAGGAGGCATCATTTGCAAATGAAAGTCCTGTGTTTTCACATGAATCCAGGAATAACCCTTTGCCAAAAACAGTACGTGTGTAAGGAAGAGTGTTTGACAGCAATACTTGTCGTAATAGAGGCACTGGCCTTTGATTACAAGACCAGAAGCTGGATGGGTGTCACAGAACCAATTAAAGAGTCCTAAATCATGGAATCCTGAGAGTTGAAAGGGACCTTTAAAGGCCATCTGGTCCAACTCCCCTGCAGTGAACAGGAACGTGCACAGTTACATCAGGATGCCCAGGGCCTGATCCAGCCTCTCCTTGAAAGTCCCCAGGGATGGGGCATCCACCACATCTCTGGGCAACGAATGTGTGCTTACAGACTATTGGGAGAGGTTGGGCTGGGACTGATCCCAGATTCTGGCTCTGGCACGTGGTTCCTTATGAACTTGGTCAGATCTCTGAGTCTCTGCACTGCGAGAGGACTGTAATAGCGAGTCTGTCTCACAGGAAGGCTGGGGGTGTTAAATACATGAAATACTGCACATGAACAGGATGCTGTTTAAGTACCACAGACACATTTGGAGAAGGCATACTCTGTAGAGTTGCTACTCACGTTTGGTGTCTTAAAAAAACAAACTAAAAAACGACCACGCCAACCTCCACTGTTGCATTTGGTCCAACAGAAGAGAAGTTGGCTGCTGTGCTTCCCCACCTGAAGTTCAACATCACTGTGCTTTGAGAAGTGGTGGGGATTGATCTGCCGTCCCTTTCCAAGCAGAACACCAGGATGTTCTCTCCCTCATGCCTACCATTCCTGTGTGTCTTTCCCTGATGGGGCAGGGTCTGTCAGGTTTGATCTTTCATAAGCCTGAATATTAGCATGCCCAGTGCAGCTTCTGTCAGATTCAGCATTCAGTTTACGAGTTCTGCAGAGCAGCTTCTCAGCTTCATTTTGCTTCTGACAGCAAGGTGTATTTTTCCTCTCCAAGAAGCGTCTGGCTGTTCCTTGGGTGGTGTTAAGGCCTGACTTATTGACAGTGGCAGGGATCATCAGCACAGTGAGCTCCTCCAGTCCAAGGACAGACTGTCCCTACCGCCACAGCTCTCACTGATGTGAGCCATCTCCTATCACTGCTGCAGAGTGGTGACATGGTGGCAGCCAAGGCTCGCGTCTTGTTTCCCCGTGCAGCCCCACACGTGCTGTGCGGGGAGGATTGCCTCACTAACGTGTATTTTCTTTAAGTGCATGATTTGATTACTTTCTTTCTAATCTTCTATCTTCTGCTTCTTTCCAGTTCTCTGGTCTGTGTGCTGTCACTTGTGACCCCATCAACTCACACCACCTTGGGCTTTCCCTTTTCTCCCTGTGTCATCAGTGCCCTGTCAGGACATGCGGTGCCCCCCCACCACCACACACCCACTCCCTTTCCTCTGCTGGGGAGACACACGGGGACCCATCCTGCATAGGCGATCTCAGCACACACAGATGCTGACGTTTGTGCCCCAGGAAGGCTGTGACTGAGGGGGTAAAGGCACACGTTGAGAAGGAGCAGCAGCCTGTTGAGGCCAACATGCGTCCTGCTGGTTTTTCCAATGCGCTCTTTTGTGGATGCACTCAGCTCTGAGATTGCGTGTGTGCTGGGGCCTGTGCCAAACAGACCCTTCACAATGAGCCAGCAGTGCGCTCTGGCAGCTCGAAAGGCAAATGGGATCCTGGGCTCCATCAGGAGAGGGGTGGCCAGCAGGGACAGGGAGCTGATTGTCCCTCTCTACTCGGCTCTTGTGAGGCCCCATCTGGAGTCCTGTGTCCAGGTGTGGAGCCCTCAGTACAAGAAAGACATTGAGATTTTGGAAAGGGTCCAGAGGAGGGCGACTAAGATGATCAGGGGGCTGGAGCACCTCCCCTATGAGGACAGGCTGAGGGAGTTGGGCTTGTTCAGCCTGGAGAAGAGAAGGCTGCGGGGTGACCTCATTGCAGCCTATCAGTACCTGAAGGGAACCTACACCCAGGAGGGGAATAAACTCTTCACAAGGGCTGATAACAGCAGGACGAGGGGAAATGGATCCAAGTTGAAGGAGGGAAGATTGAGGTTGGATGTTAGGGGGAAGTTCTTTACTAGGAGAGTGGTCAGGCCCTGGAACGGGCTGCCCAGGGAGGTTGTGGATGCCCCGTCCTTGGATGTGTTTAAGGCCAGGTTGGACGGGGTCCTGGGCAACCTGATCTGAATGTGGATGTTTGGTGGCCCTGCCAGGCAGGGGGGTTGGA